TTAGCAAATTTCTTTCTATAAAGATCGCAATATATATATACATACATACATATATATATGAAATCAAGAGAGCTTCAAATGACGTGCCCAATATCGAACATGAATAATGGACAAAATGTCGTCGCTTTACAGCAAAATTCGAGCCTCACAAAGGTCGCCAACAATATCCTTTATAGCCGCACTTGAGATCCTTGATATTTGGCCAAAATTGCCTTTGCCACTATTCGTAACGCCTGCACAGAATTTTTGCAAGAATTTTTCAAAAGAGAGCATGTGCCAAAAAAAAAATCACATGTTCCCAATGTACTCCCGAAACGGCCAACGTATTTTACACTATGCTCGGCAACAGAGGAGAGCACCCGAAATTAGCAACAAATAAAAAAAACAACAACAACAACAGCAACAACAAAAATTGGAATAAAATATGCTCGACACTCGCGGAGAGAAACCCACGCGTCGCATTTAAAAACAAAATGGCCGCCAGGTAATTTTGTTGACGTGGTTTTCTGCTTTTTCTTCAGGGCACAAAACTAAATTGCTTTTAATTATTATAAACTATAATTAATAATTTACAAATCTATAGCAAATTCAAGTTTCTTTAATACTTACACATATTTCAAATAATTAAAGCATACATTGCCTGCAGAAATAGACAAAATGGCGTTCGTATTGCGCTAGAAATAAATATTTAAATATGATTTAGTTAATATTTAAACAACGTTTAAAAACGAGCAAAGCGATATATCTATATAAAATATGCCCCCATTTTGTAAACTCTGATTTGCACAGGTGGAATACAAAGGTTGCCACCCTTTATAAGTTATTTCTAATATTTGTGATATATTTAGAAGAGGCCGCCATTTTGTAAACTCTGATCTACCAAGGTACAATAGGAACACAAAGGCTGCCACCCTTTTGAAGTGTTTGTTAATATTTCTTACATATTTATATGAAAGATTTGATCATTTTGTAAACTCTCATTAAGCAAAGTACAGTAGGAAATCAAAGGTTGCCACCCTTTGAAATTTTTTGGTCATGCTGAAACTACAAATTTAGCAATGGGAAAACTAATTATTTAACTATATGATAATAATATAATCTTTTAACGAATTTAACTCTAGAATTTAAACTACTTTAGAACATTATTTGTTAAGTCCATAAATCAATTTACTTTCTTTTGATTCAAGTTATTCTCCAATTTCACATTGAGTAAAATATTCTTATTAAAATTTTGTATGTCAAATAACAAATAACAAATATCCGTTAGCTAACCTAACTGTCTAATTTGACATCAAGCTACACATTTGAGCTCGCAAATAAATAGCTTTTTATTAATTTAGCGCTCTTTTAATTAAATAAAGCTCATAAACAAATAACTAACTTTAAAAGAATTCAACTCTCTATTAATTAAATATAGGTCTAAATCAAATGAGGATCTTTAAATTAACTGAACTCTTAATAAATTAAATAATGTAACTAGCTTTAAATGAATTCAAATATCTTATTTAACTTCCAGCTTAAAACTCTTTTGTCTGTTTGGTGAAGTTAAATATCAAATAATTGTCTTTTATTTAACTGAAATATGACGACCAGCAGGTGCTTAGTCTGGGCGCTTTTAAATGGAATTTTTATACAAATTAAATAATATAATACAGAAAAGTCATTTCGAAAGAAAGATTTTTATTGCGAAGGGTATTCAAATTCGTAGAAAGAAAACTCAGCAGACAGAGCAGCTGCACTTAAGAATAGGCAACTTTAAAGCTTGGCTAACTAAGTTCTAACTCCAACTAGTTCACCTTAAAGCCTAAAGGTCCTTAAGGTCTTAAAGCCACCCGGTTAGTCTTAAAGGCTGTGTGAAGCCAACTAAGTAGTTAGCCTTAAAGCCTAAAGGTCCCAAAGCCACCTGATTGGTCTTAATGCTGTCTGTTCTTAACTCGACCCACAACAAATTCGTATTACGGAATATTTACGTGAAATCTAAAAGTAGCTAAAGTAATAGCTTTATTAGCTGACTTTTGGAGTCGCGATCAAATATGTGTACAATTAGATTTGGCCTCAATTGTTGGCTGGCCTGCAGCATGCAGCTAACTGCACTGAAAAATAGTTAAACGTTCGACTTGGATTGGTCTGATTCCAGCTTGGACGCGTACTTTGCATCATGGGGCAGGGTGGGCCAGGGCTAGACTGGGCTGGGCTGGGCTGGGCTGGGCATGGCGTGGCGCGGCGTCTAAGAGTGCGACAGCCTCCATTAAAATGCCCCACTAGCTGCATTCCAAGAATTCATAAGTCAAAGATCGAATGTGCTGCGCTCCAACGATAGTGACGGGCACCCAGCACCGATCTGCCCGGCTGCCCAGCTACCCGGCTGCCCGGCTGCCCAGCTGCCAGTGTCGCTTAGTTGGTGCATTGTATCTGGCCAGGGCCACCGTCAGCGATCAGCAGCAGACAACAAAGACTCAAATTGAATAAATAAAGCGCAAGATTTATGCATACGAAATTAATAAATTGAAATATGCTTTCGTGTGTGTGCCTCTGTGTGTTTATGCGTGTGTGTGTGTGTGTGTGTGTGTGCACGGAATATTAGACACTAACGCTTAACAAGTGCATTGGGCATTTAATTTAAATGCGTGTGTGCCCGCTTTATCAGTGGGCAACCCAACCCCCAGTGGCAGTCCCAGTCGCAGCCCAACTTCTTCCCCCCGCGTCTAACGAAACGACAAAGGAGATTAACAAGAGTAACCATCAACGGCAAGAAACCAGATATGAAATATGCGCGATAAGACCCAAAGTGCATTGGTGTCAAAAAAATACTTACAAGAAGTATGCAGGCCAACAGGCCCAACAGTCCAACAGCTACGAGTACCAGAACACGTATCTCTTGGTTCTTATTTTTCCTCTTCTTATGCTAGTTTCCATTTTTTTTTTTCGTTTCGTTTGTGTTGAGTGGTAAAGTGATGAAATGCACTCTCACATATAAACATGAGAATGAACCAAGCCCCGTCACAGTCACAGCCGCAGTCACAGCGGCAGTCGCAGCGGCAGTCGCAGCGGCAGTCGCAGTCGCATTCGCAGCCAGTTTCAGTTTGCCTCGTTTCATGAATGGGGCCTGGGAGCTGCTGCTGCTGCTGCTGCTGCTGTGTTGGGGCTCTGGGTTAGCCGTTTGGTTGCATGAATGAATTGCTATGGCGCCGGCGCGCATAGATCGAACTATTGTAATTACTATGAGATTATGCAAAATGCATATGCAATTAGTTGTGGCTGCTGCTGGTCTCGCAGTCTGGGTCTCGAGTCAGTCCCAGACCCGGGCTCACGAGTCGCCACATTCAGAGTCAGACACTGAGTCATGGGGCAACTGGTTTGACTTGACTGAGAACAAGTACAAACGTACTAACTTGCAGTTACATTGCAAATAACTAGTTGCCATACATGGCTGTAGCCCTGCATTCTATCAGCGGGGTATCATTTTAATATCTTCCATCAATGTCTGCCATTCTATACCTTCATTATATCTTTTATGTAACTCCAGCTTGTTTTGCAGCTGTAGATTAGACTGATCTACTTCTAAGCAGAGGATTTCCAAATCTCCTTTCGATTAAATCCTTTTTTTTAAACAACTCCAACCTGCAAAATTTACATTCTTGTATTTACAAGCTGGTTTTAGACAGAGCCCCAATTTTAAGCAAACCCTTTTTAATGGATTCCTTTTGGGAAACCTTACATAACTCTGCAGCTGCAGTACAACACTGCAAAACATATTCTTATTTTAAAGACACCTCATTGAGAGTTTCTATAATTTTAAGATAACAAGCTGGTTTTAAATTCAACCTCCTTTTAACAACAAATCTTTTTTGTGGATGGATTACTTACACGACAGCTCTCTGGGCGCTTGTGCCAAATTACTTTAAGACAATCCCTAATTTATAAACCCAAATATAGAATTTAAACTCTTGTTTTTGCAAGCTGGTTTTAGGTAAAAACCCCTTTCTTGTAGGAAACCTTTTTTTCCATCTGAACAGTTTTTCGGCGCTCCTGTAACACAATTCATGTGAAGACTTGTAACTAGAAAACTCGATAATCTTCGGTTTACAAGCTGGTTGTAGATAAGACCCAATTTTAATATAACCACTTTTTTGCTAATGCGAGTCCCTGGCTTTCGATTTGCTTTGTATAAAACCTTTTTGTTTCATAATTTCCTTCTATGACAGCTTTTAGTTATCGGAACCCCTTAACAAATTTGATCAAAACAGTTTCTTAGTTTAAAGACTCCTAGTTAGGAAACTTTAGAATCTTGTGTGTATAAGCAGGCTTTAGAATAAACCCCATTTTTGTACAAGACCCTAATTTCTGGATTCCTTCAATGATAGCTATTTATTGATAAAGCTTTTTGAAGCCCTTGTATCGAATTATTTGAAAATAATTCCAAGTTTAAAGACCAAAAGTATTATCAGATTCAATTTTGGAGCTTCTAAGATAGTTTTAAATTATATATCTATATTAGACAATATAATGCCCCTACGTTAAGCCAGCCTTGGGCAAATGTTTCGCCCAAATGCAACCCTGCGGCTGTCACCCCCTTTTGCGCTACGCCTATGCTAGCAGCGACTGTGTGATATGCAGTCACGATATTGGAATGTGTGTCTTGATGATGATGACGAACAAATGTTTGTTGTGCAAGCCAGAGAACTGCAACCTGTTGGCATTTAGCAATTAAAATTTCTTAGCTCGCTGCCAGAGTCGAGGTGCAGCGCAGCGCTCGGCAGCGTCTAATCAACAGAAAGTCTGCCCAATTTAGAAGAGGTAACAATATTAATTTGATGGTCCATTCTATTGTTTGTCGACATAAGCATTAAGATAGGTATGTCTAGCTATATGCCGCATGCAGCAGGCAGACAGCTTCCCAACTTCTTTATGGTAAACGTGGAGATCAATGCCATTCAATAATAATAAATATAAAACGGTGTGCCGATGGGAACCTGACTGGAAATGTCATCAGCATTAACATGAATAGCATCAACAGCAACAACAACAACAACGAGAACAACAAGAACAACTGCAATGCGCCCGGCCTATCGGTAAGTATAATAATGTCTGTCCCTGTCCCGGGGTCTGTCCATATGTCCCCTAAAAAACTGATAATAATGTCGCCTGCGGGAAATTCCTTTAGCGGCATTTAAGGCCACTTAATTATGCCCCGTTGCCCGAAACTGAACCGTACTGAACCGAACTGAACTGAGCTGAGCTGACCAGGTCTCTGGTCTCTGGGCCGCTCTCAAACCAAAAACCAATCCTAAATTCCTGGAATTTTGACTCTTGTTAAATATCAACTGCTGTATTTGTACACGCCGGCTCTTCGACTCACCTTCCGTCTGTCCGCCCGTCCGTCTGTCTGTCGGTCTCTGTCTCCCTCTCTGTCCCTGCTGTGTCTGCCTGTGTCTGTCTATCTGTCTGTTTGTCTGTTCTCCTCTCCCCCGCTTGCTGCACTTTCCATCCATCCATCCGTCTGTCTGTCTGTCTGTCTGTCTATCTGTTTATCGGTCTGTTTTCTCAGTGTGTGTGTGACGCGCCCAGCTGAACTTTCATATGTGAAAAACGCACAGAATATTTACATCCTTTTTCCACTTGGCTGTGCCATTTGATTTCAACAAGCACAAAATGTATTCAAAAATGTGAATTCGCAGCAAACTCACACGTTTCACATTACAATTTCACGTAATCAGTGCATTTTAGGCTTACTTATAGCTGAAAAAGTCACGTGGTTGGCTTGCAAGTCAGTCTTGACTTAAATTAAGTGCATCTAAAATTGCAAACGTGAAATTTTCACTGAAAAATCATTTAACTTCAAAAGTTCTACTGGGGTCGTTGGCCCCAAAAAGTTTATTATCATTACGAAAATGTTCTGCTGATGGATGCAAACGCATCTTAAAGCAAATCAGCTGCACAATAGTCAAAGGCAGGCAATTTGGGTTTAGTTTCTTCTTTATTTTTTTTTGCGGACACCTTAGTGCAGCAAAGATCGCCCCAAGAAGCCGATGAGCGAACCAATTAGATCAAACGTTTACTCCTGCTGAGTGGCAACAACTTGTGCACCAGCAGCAGCTCGCCCTCGCTCAAGCCACAAAGCCGCCAATGTAAATATATGTATGTACACACACACACACACACACACACACACACTCGCACTCGCACACTCAGATATCAGACATTCTTTACGTAGCTCGCTCGGTCTACAGTCTACGGTCTACGGTCATCAAGTCAGCTTGTTCAACGTGCAAGAGGCAAGGGGAGCAGGGTGGAGGGGGCAGGGTGGAGGGAGGGAGGCATCGATGATAATATTCATTCATTTGATCAAACCGCCGAAGACGTCAACAACAACCACGAACGAAGCAACGACGACTTTCATTATGCCCCAATGGCCATTTCACCTCCTCAACCTCCGCCTCCTCCCTCTCTCCACACACAGCGACTGCAACTGCAACAGCCGCAGCCGCAGCCGCAGCCGCAGCGAAGACCAGTCGATCGTCGGACCGCCCGAATGCAGTCCAAAATCAAATTGAAGCAGAGAAAAGAAATAACAAAATCATATTGCCAAAGTAGCAGCAGCAACAGCAGCGGCAGCCACAACAAAATCAACAGCAACAACACTGAAAGAAATGCAGGGGTAATAAGCAAAAATCATGCCATTGATCTAGACTGTGAGTAAATACAGATTAGTTGACGTTCAGGTAAATACTTGAGCTACAGAATTAAAATTTTGTTAGTATCAAGCAATAGCTTAAGATATAATCTGAACCATCAAAAACTAGTCGGGGACTCAAACCCGATGATTCATTGTCCCACTTTTGAGTGTTTCTTTGACTAGGATTATTATCGAGGGATATTGTTTAGGCATATTGATATAAATTAGCAAACGATAGCACTACTAGTCGGGGGTTCAAACCTGGGGCTTCATTGCCTCACTTTTAAGTGCATTATCTTCTGGAATATTATTAGTATGGCATATATTTTTGGCATATATGTATACTTTCTCGTAATCACCTGGTGCTTCATTGCTTCACAGTCGAATGCCTTTTTGTCAAGACCTATTATTAATATAGGCTAGAATTTTGGCATATAGATACCATATAACTATTAAAGGATGGGACAACGCTTCATCCATACTCTAGTCGGGAGCTCGATCCCGGGCCTCCATAATCTCACTATTGAACATCTCTTTGACTGATTTATTATTATTTTGAGATATAGTTTTCTTATTTAGATATAAACTGTTCAGTAACCATAGCAAGAGGGAGTTCGAATCCAGAGTTTCTTTGTTCAGTTCCCTAAATGATTGGTTCACTAAGGTCTGCTACTTTTTAATTTTTAAATCTCAACCATCTTTTTGTCATGGAAAATATGCTCTTTGTACTGAAGATCTTGCCCAGCAGCTATCTAGAAAATTGAAAGAACAAGGGAAAAATCTACCCCAAATAGTACACTTTCGATGCTTCCAGAGAGTCTCTTATCTGCTTTTATGTACCATATGCAAATATTCTAAAGTCCTCAGCTAATAAGCCTTTCTACTATGGCTTCTCTTTTGATCAGCCTGGACAAGAAGAGATCTAGAGATCTAGAGATTTGCAGTAGGTATGCATAGGGCTTCCATTTCGTCCTGTTAATATGTTAAATATGTTAAAATGTTAACAGTAATCGCTTTATATGAGTTTTAAGGAACACCTATCTAAAAGTTAGGAAATTTCTTTTAAATACTTTTTTCAAGTCGCAAATATCTTGAGGTACTTCCAAGGATTTTCCAAACCCTGTCGAAATAACGTGCTTAACAGTTTCTTCTCTTTCTGATTTTCAAATTCGCGCTTATCCCAATTTCCGGCCGCATTTGTGAAAACTATTTAAGTAGATCTGCATTGATTACCCTCAAACTTTCTCTCAGTGCACACAATCGACACATTCACTTATAGATATAAAAATCGATGAGAAAAGGAATATGTTGAACGGGCGTATGGTCTGTAGCACGGCTCAAAACTGCCGTCCGTTCTCCGCCCATGCACATACACTCACACACACGCACACTCACACACAGATACACACACATACAGGCGCACACACACGGAGGCACAAGACGAAGCAAAGACCTCTTTTTAATGTATTGCAATTCCAAGAATTTAGGAAGAGGAACGTGAGAAATTTTGTTTTTGTTATTTTCTTTTCTTTGCATTTCATTTCAAGATACGAAGCCTGTGTGCCCCAACCTTATAGCATATAACTATCTACCTCTTTCATGCGCTGCAGTCCCTAGCCGAAAGTCGCCGTCGTCGTCGTCGCCGTTGCCGTCGTCGGCGGTGGCTCTTGCAGCTCCTACATTGGGCTCGGGCCATGGCCAATGTTTGATTGCAGTCGCTGCCTCAGTCGCAGCGCTGCCATAGTCGCTGTCGCTGCCGTTGCCGTTGCAGTTGCCGCATGCCCCAGACATTCATATTGTATACACTTAAGTTCTTCTGGAATTTTGTATTGCAGCAGCCAAAAACGGCGCATTTTAAGGTGCAAACGTCTGTGTGTGTGTGTGTGTGTGGCAAGCAAGCCGAATCGCACGAGTCGGGAGTCGGGAGTCGGTAGTCGGGGGAGTCGCCCCAATGTTGTGCTGCAGTGTGCCAGACTTGGCTAATAAAGCCGGCTGATCGGGGAGAAAGCCGAAAATTCCGCGACAACATTGTGGCACTTTTGGGTAGAAAGCCAAGTGGGGGCGGCAGCCAGGCGGGGCAGCAGTCTGTCAGAGGGGGGGGAGTAGATTGAGCAGAGGGGGAGGGGGCAGTTGCCGCATTTAGTTATTCTGTTTGCTTGCCACAATTTTGTTTGCTTGCTTTTGGCTTGTTTTTGTTTTGGTTTGTTTTTGCATTTGCAGCGATTTCTGCGTCTGCGTGCGTGTGTGTGTGTGCGTGTGTGTGTGTGTGTGCGTGAGTGTGTGCTTGAGTGTGTCTGAGTGTGTGTTGCAAGCAGTCCATTTCTTTTTGGCCTGCTGCTGCTGACGTTGCCTCTGGAATGTGCGCGCCGCCATCGACGTTGCTGCATAATTTTTAGCTGCTGCCTCTGCCTCTGCTGCGGCTGCTGCGGCTGCTGCTGGCGCAGGGCAGCGACAAAATAGCAGAATCCTGTTGCCATGATCGTTAACAAGATGCCAAGACAACGGCAGCCGGGCCGGGCCGGGCAGGGCCGGGCCGGGCGGAGCACAAGCTGGAATCTGGAATCTGTGGGAGCTTCGAACTGGCAGCCAAATTAAATAGGCGCAAGCGCTTCAGTTAGCCACGAGTTGGAGCCGAGCTGCCGCTTGTTGTTCTTCTTCTTCTGCTGCTTCTTCTTCTTGCTGCTGCTGCTGCGGAGTTGATTGTCCTCTCACCTCAAGTTTTGGCCCGAGTCTGCGGCAGTCGGGACTCTGTCGTGGCCTCTACTCTGCTTGTAGTTGTTGCCTTTTGCATGGAATGCTGCCTTACGAGTAGAGAAAATCTTCTCACCTCACACCAGGTATCATTTCATTGGACCAATGTAGATCCGGATTCCGCCAGCAACAGCTAAGCAGATTTATTACTTAAGCCAAATCGTAATCCAATAGGCCGCTGCTTTATATAATTTTAATAATTCCTATAGACTCTTGGCTATTCCTGACTCTCTATTACAGGACAAATTCAAAATAGATATAGGGTCAATATATTTAAAAATTTCAAGTGCCCAAATGTGCCCTACTAATATATTTTATAATATTTAAAAAGGTTTTAGTCCTCATACTCTTTTTCTTAAATTCGTGTCATCCAAAACTTTTTGTAGCTTTTATTTCTAAAAAATTGAAATTATTTCAAGAAGTTCCAATTTCTAGGAAGACTTGAATGACTAACTATCAGCGCCTCTTTACGAAACTATCTACTTTTTTTTGGCATTTAATTTTAGTCAGAATTTGAATGTTTTTGTCAACAGATTTTGATGAGTAAACAAATTTATATCCACTCGCTGCTCTGATTTGGCAATCACGTTCCAAAGAACATGCTCTGTAAATTCTCAGTAAATTCACATGTTACCCATTAAATATACTCATTATCAATAAATTTTAGGCCTGCTTTGAGCTGAAAATGTCATGTGGTTTAGTCTTGGCTTATAGTCAAGAGACTTAAAATTTTGCACATGCTTTTTTCGCTGAAAAATCATCACTCATCAACACTTCACATAAAGTTCTGCTGGGCTATTTAGTCTAGTTAACGTTTATCATCATTTAGTTAACCCTCTGAGAGATCTACCTAGATCTAGCTCTTATCGTATTTTAATGCAAGCGAATGCTTTTCTGCTTTAGTAAACTTCTTCTTTGAATTAGGACTATAGCAATAGACTATTAAAGTTTCTCGAAGCATACGTTGCTTTTTACTAGGTTAAAATTGGGGAACTGCTTTAAATGGAGTCCTTCAATTTCAGATCATGTATAATATGTACAATATGTTTGTTCTATTAGCTGAAATATAGGAAGTTTCTACTAGTTGAAGGTTTCAGCTTTGGTAGGAACCACTTTTGGAATATTTTGCTCAGATTGGGACTACAATCAGATTTATCCCATTTATAAAGTCTTTCGGATGTATCCCCTTAATATAAAGGCTATCAGATGAAACATTTAGCTTGGGTACCAATAACTCGGGCTAATATAAATTGGCTTATTTCAAGGATTATCCTTATAGCATGGATTATTCAGATTAGGATTACAATCAGATTTAACACTTATATAAAGGTTATTGTGTATATATTGAGAGATTAGGCTTTGCTACCAATAATTCGGGTATCCCTTTAGTATGGACTGTTTAGAGTGGAAATATAATCATATAAGTATAACACTTATATAACGGTTATCAGATATATCCCTTATATAAGAACCGATATTTGAATGTTTTAGCTGCGTTACCAACAAATCACTCTAACATAAATTGGCTTGTTTGAAGGGCTAATGTGAGTTATTCAGATTGGGATTCAAATTGGGCAATCAGACTTTATCCCTATATAAAAGCAATGGGGGGTGTCCCTTATATAAAGGCTATCAGGTGAAAGATTAAGTTTTGTCACCAATAACTCGGGCTAATATAAATTGCCTTGTTTGAAGGGCTATCCTTATAGTGTGAGCTGTTCAGATTGGGATAACAATCAGACTTTAGCCCTATATAAAAGTTATCGGAGGTATACCTTATATATAGAGGCTATCAAATGAGATATTTAGCTGCGTTACCAACAATTCCGGTTAACATAAATAGGCTTGTTTGAAGGGTTATCCTTGCAATATGCAATTATTGTCTTGATAGACAAACTGGAAGCTTGGGCCCTATGTTCTGCTCATTATGGCTATCATCAGGTTTATGGGCTGTTCATTAGGCAGTTAAAGCCGTGCAGCTACTCAGCCAGAAAAACTGGACGCGCTCAGTTGCAAGGAGCAGCCGCAGCAGCAGCAGCAGCAGCAGAAGCCGCAGCAGTGGCAGTGGCAGTAGCAGTAGCAGTCGAGCCGGAGCAGCAGGCAGCAAGGAGGCGTTGCTGTTTTTCTTTTGAATTCGGCTTTTGGCGGATGGTCAACGGGGCAAGTAGTCTGTTATTCCTGGAGGCATGTGGCCTGTGCGCCGCATATTGTTCATTATGATTATTTCTGGCAGGCATTTTGGGATCGTAGCTGCGGCTGCGGCTGCCGCTGCGGCTGTGCAAAAATCCGCACATAATCTGGCAAAACCAGTAGAACAACAACAAGTCGATGTGGACGTGGTTGCGGACATGGAACTGGACATGGACGTGGATGCGGACACGGACGCAGCGCTCAGCTCTCAGCTCATTTATAATGGGAAATGTGTGAGTGGCGCAGGCGCAAATCCCTTTTCGTACCTTGCCGCACGTTACCTTTTCTGTCAGTTGTTGTTGTTTGTTGTTGTTGTTTGTTGTTGTTGTCGCGGTCGTCGGGGTCGCCGCTGTTGTTATTGTTATTGTTGTGCGTCTTGGTCTTGTCTGGATGTGTCTGAGTCTCAGTCTCCGTCTCCGACTCCGTCTCAGTCGCAGCATCAGCTTCGGCATCGGCATCGGCAGCGGCAGCGGCTTTGGCTTTGGGTCTTTTGCCTTTTGTCCTGCGCATCGCATTCGAATTTTCCCAGAAATGTTAATTATAATACATACATAACACATATTCATACATAATTACTCGCATTTTTTCCATGTCCATATCCTGTTTATGCCTGTTTGCTTACCATTCACCTCCCCTCCCCTGCTCGCCTCGCCTCGCCACGCCACGCATCGCATCGCGTTGCGTTTGTTAATGCGCTAAATAAATTTGCATGCTATGCGTTTTTTTTTTGTTTTTAATGCTTTTTGTTTATTTTCTGTGCTTCTCTTTTTTTTTCGCAAATAAAAAATAAATGAAAGGGGCGAGCGCAGCTTGTTCTGGACTGGAATTCGGTTTTGTTCTGTGTGGCAGCCACTCGCAGCGCCTCACAGTATCTGTGCAAAAGGTGTTCAGAGCCTGCTTCTAATATGAGCTGGCCAAAGGTGCGTAGCTATGGGAAAAGGATGTGAAATGCCGTTACTTCTAGTTTAATGAAACATTATGGGATTTCAATTTCTTGTTGGCTGCGTGTCAATCAATTTAATGAAGCATTGTTTGACAATCAAAGTAAAAATCGGATTTTCAGGGTGGTACGAATGACAGACACATGATGAACTATTCCATTTTTAATACATATATATATAATATGAGACTTTTCGCTTGAGATTTTTCTCATTTTCCACTAAAGAAACTTTTCCCAAGAGTAAAAAAATAGTTTTTATTAACATAATAAATTGAATTTTAGCTATGTTTATTTAGGTGCATTTATTTTCATTAATACCAAAGGCTTTAAGTGAAAATCTTGATATATTTGTATGCTCCTAGTCCATTGATAATAGTTAAAAATGATCTTATATATTTTTCAAAGCAAGGCAAACGTTTCTTAATTATTAAAACAAAGTTGTTATTAATAAATTTTAAGTCTTTTTATTTATATCCATTTATTTTCAATACTAATAATAATAATAAATTTCTCGCTGACTTTTAACACGTCCGCATTATTTGAAAGATTATAAAATGTATATAAAAACAATATGGCTAGAAAAACAGGGTAATAAAAAATATATACAAATAAAGTATGACATCAAAATGTTGTAAACAACTTTGAAAATAGCCCAATTACGTTGTAATTACTATTAAAAAAATGTCAAAATAGAAGTGTTTGTATTAGCTGGTGTCAATTATTTTAGAACTTTTAATAATCAATAAAGTATAAATTTAATTATTTAGTTGCCCCGCCCTTTCGAATAAATGAAAAATAGAATGCAGGCAAGAAAATGTTGAAAAGTTTAAACAATTTGCTACAACGCAATTTTTGAGTTTTCTATCAAATCGCCGCCATTATGTTTTTTTGTCGCTCTCAAAAAGAACAACAACAATAACAGCAACAACAACAACAACAACAACAACAGCAAAGAGCAAATTCGAAGCCCTCCCACTTCTCGTGCACCCCAAGTCCAAAAAGCTGGGGCGGCTCTCCAAATAAACAACAACAACAAATATGTCAAAACCCAACAAAAAGCTAGTATCTCTCACTCACACACACACATACACGCAAGCTCCCGCACACGCGAGCACAAATACACACACACACACACACACACACATATACGCGCGCATACACACTCACGCAAGCGCCAATTGATCGCTCACACGCGCACATGTGCGCCAATTTCTCACCTACACAAGCGCGCGCTCTTTCACACGCACGCACCCATACCAATGCAGCCGCTCTCATGCCACTAATCGTAGTGCAAACGTAGCTGAGACGTTAACGCAGGGCAGGGCAGGGCAGGGCATAGCATGGGGGCCAGCTAACGCCACACTTTCGTGCCAGCAAAGCGATAATGAACGAAAAGAGAGCTGGCTGCGAACGTTGTCGGCAATGACTGCGACTGCAACTGCGACAGAGCAGCAGAGAGAGACAGAGAGAGAGAGAGTGTGTGTGAGTGGGAGAGGGGACAGTGGGGAGCCGAGGCGCTGCAAACCAGTTGCAGTGGCAACTCGCAATACCAATACCGCATTCCAAGCGAAAGAGGTTAGACCTCCGTCGTCATTTCATTCACAATTTTCAACATTGCAAGCAGCAGCAGCAGGGATGAGGGATCGAGTAGGTGGGGAGTCGGGGAGCGCAGCAGCAGACTGCACATTTTTGAAGTTGTTGCTGCCGCTGCTGCTGCTGCAACTGCTGACAGTGACTGAGACTTGGCGCTTGGCATGCGACACGGACACGGACTTTGCTTGTGGCAGCAGCAGGGTGAGGGAGTGTGGGGTGGGGAGGGGGGTTAACGATTGCCTGTCCAAAGCTATTTCAGCTATGCCTTTTATCACTCTCTCTCACACAGATCTATCGATATATTTGTTGAATTTATATGTATATATATTTCTTGTATATGTTCTTTTAATACATTGCTGTCAACTTTTGCTGCCACGGCGGCAAGTCCAGCCGCTCTATATGATTCATTTGCCGTCTTGGCTTTGGCCAATTGTTTGTGCAACAACCTGTTGTCTTAATTTCTTACTCAAATGGCAAGCGAATTACAATAAATTCCTTAACCAGCCGTGTAATCGTGTTATCATCATTATTTACAATTACAACGACACACAAACACACATACAGCTGCAGAGCACGACTGTAGACATTGGTCAGACACTGAGAGAAACGCACGTGTTAAAGGCAGAGTCTAGATCTTACTCATTTTATAGTTTTGATATAGAGATTTACCAAATATAAAGTTGTCTAAATATTTATGTGATATTAATATCTTATTTAAAAAAACAAAATTTAATTTTGCATTAGATTAAATATATCTTTAGATGCGAATGAGATTCGTGCTATTAGCCGGTTCCAACCCAGAATTTATATATGTTTTTTGCCCTGAGCCCTTTTTTAATGGGTAAAAGTGGTATAATGTTTTTTTTCAAAGTAACTTTTTGCTAAAAATCATAAATTTCTGGGAGATAAACAATTATTAATTTTGTTTTAAATTAACTATTTTATGAAAGAGTAAAATATTTTAATTAATTTTTTTAGATGAGATGTTTTTAAATTAATATTTTATTTTTTATTAGTTGTCATGTGAAAGGGTAAAACATATTTTCTTATAGTTTACAGAAAGAAGGCATTTTTAAATTCAAAAGAAACCTAAAACAATTATATTGGAGTTCAAGCTATATTAAAATGGAATTGTTTTTAGTTTTTTATTTTAATAAATTAACCACCGGACCTCGAACCAGCTAATTTAATATGAATAAACATGAATAGGTCAGGTTATTTAATTAAAAAATAAATTGTTTAATTGTTGAAAAGGCTGAAAAAGCGGGTTTAAGTGCCGCAACTGAAGGCGCGACATAGCTTCCAACCCTAAACCGTATCAAAGACAATTTTTGAATGCAGACTTGGAGAACATTTATTTATCAAGCTATTTGAAGTTCATGTTCTGTAGCTTTTCGCTCAGTGTAGTCGTGCGTATCTCTCTTAGATATTTGGTCTTGGTTTTCATGCGTTCGCTGCGTGCCGAGAAGCAGTCGCTGTCGCTGTCGCCGTCGCCTTTGCAGTTGCTCTGCCTAATAACAGCAACAGCTACGCAGCGACGGCAACAGCAGCAGCAACAGCAGCGACGGCAGCGACGGCAGCAGCGGTGGCAGCGGCAGCAGCAACTTGCATACGAAACAATTTGTGGCGACTTTTGAAAGCTACACAGCAGCAGCAACATCAACAACAACAACAACAACAACAATAACAATCAAGCGACGTGCCAGACGTGTGTACATACCTACACATACTTCAATGTTACCTAATTAGAGTTTACAAGAAGAAGTAGACGCTGTCGCAGTTAAAGCAGCAGCAGCAGCAGCAGCAGCATGATTCATTGGAATGCAAAGAATTTTTATATGTTTCTATCTACATATGTACACACGCAGCCCACATACATACATATATACATATATGTTGTTGTTGCTTTTTACAATTTTAATATGTACGATGAATGATTTTGTAACACAGAAGAAAAAAAACAGCAACAACATCAACACCCTAAAAACATCAAGGCAAACACTGCGCATGTGGAATGCAGTAATGTGGCCCAACCATAACAAAGCAGACACAGATCGAGCAGCGGGCGGGATCAGGCCCGGTACCGGGCTGACAGACAGCCGGAAAGACAGCCGGGCAGACGGGCAGACGGACAGACGTAGCGACAGTTACGTCAAATAGATAGTCGTGGTTAAGAGGGGGAGGGAGGAAAGTCAAACGAGACAAACAGCCCCCAATAGATAGACAAATATACCCAAGGCTCGTTACTTTTAGATACCACACATGGAGAGGCAAATACAAAAGTAAAATAGAAGAATTTGATTGGGAAATCAACTGGCACGAAGATCAGATTGTCTTCTATACACATAATTTGGGAGATATGCGGAAAAAAATAACCGAGGCGTGAGCTTGGTTCACTTAAAGATCCATGCAGATCCGGCTATGAAAAGCCTCCTAATTCCACTTCATTCAAAAGAAATGTCAATGTAAATTGTTGACTATCCCGATGTGCTTCTCTCCCATCGCTGCTTTTATTTAAGGTCTATTTGGTCGTGTTAGGAAACACAAGCTACGCAAGATCAATCGATTTTGAGAAATTTGCGAAAATTTGCTGATGGCAAGTTTTTGTCACGGGCGAGAAACGGGTGGATCTCTTATGCAACGTTTTTTTCAATGCGCTGCATATTGTATGTAAGTTTCTTTATGCATATAGATACGT